TTAAAAAAAATAAAAAGGGAATTTGTCCACTACCAACTAGAAAAAAAACGTAAAAAGAAAAATTTGTTCATAAACTTTTACCTATGATTTTAATATTTTATCTTTTTCAACTTGTTCCTGATAAACTATTTCTTCTTAGAAAATAATATTAATGTGATGTTTCTAAATAGTCCATTAATGATTGTCAAATAATTATGACATAAATATAAAAACAAATTATATAAAATAACTTATAAAGTGAAATTTAATTTAATTTATATATTATATCATAACTGTTATTAATGTAAAATTCTTAGCACAACTTTGAATATTGAAAAACTCAAATATTACATTAAATATTTATATAATTTTCATTACATCTTTTATAAAAAAATTTTCTCTAAAATCATGTGAATTAAGCATACTTTACAAGGAAATATCTAACTAGGTTAGCATACTAACACCAACAATCAAATTATCGATAATTCTCAATATATATATAAAAGTGATTTTCAGCGTAATAGTTTTATTTAAGTGCATTACCTGCAAACCGCACGTCTCAAAGGCTATCAAAGTATTGTTATTACATGTTTAATTTGATAATTTCTTTTAAACACAATTTACATTTTTAAAAGGTTCAACCTTTTAAACACATTTTAATTTTTTAGTTTCTTTTTATTCATTAATTTCATTTGGTACTTTTTTTTTTACTTTTCACCTGTTTTTAATTTATTTATAAAATTGACAAAATTGTATATCACTACAAGGTAATATTTTTATTATTTATTAAATATTTTACTTGTATAACTTATTTATTATTAATTAATTTTCCCTAATACATTAGAGACTGATACTCCAACCACTAAGCTACCAGATTTTTTTTATAATAATTTACAAATAAATTATATTTATATATTTATATATTTATATTTTATATATTTATATATTTTTATATATAATTAAATATTTTTATATATTTATATATAATTAAATATTTATTTTTTAAAATTATTTAATTTAAGAAATTATTATAAATTAATCTAATTATGATTAAATTAAATTATTAAATAAAAAATATTTAATTTTTTAATTAGTTGAATATTTACTGATTGTTAATTTACAGATGAATTTACCGAACGGATATATTCGATTCGGTAATTTACTGAATGGATTTACCAACGGATATATCCGTCATGTAATTTACAGATGGATTTACCGACGGATATATCGATGGATATATCCATCGGTAACTAATTATTATTTTACCGACGATATATCCGTCGGTAAGATCAAATTCCACAAATATTTTATATCCGTCGGTAATAATTATTTTTCGACGGATACAAATCCGTCGGTAATACACGATTTTCTGTATAATTTTAAAACTTCAGTTAGAATTATCAATTAATCAAATAAAGACATAGTTATAATAATATAACTTAAATTATAATCATAATACAACCAAATAAAAAACAAAGTATATAATAACAAATTTAAATAAAAAATAAAAAATTAAAGAAACCACTCCTACCAAAAATGATAATAAATGAAAATATTCCAATCTATCTTTCTAAAAAGAAAAGATGTATCGGTTGGTATACTTCATTGATTAACATCTAAATAATACAAATGTAAACATAATTAGAGACACTAAAATGTGATTATAAATTATTAAAATTTATTGAATATTAAATATTGGTGACTTGGTATCAGAGTATTGTTTTCAAATGTTTGAATTTTTGATACGCATTATATATTCTGAAAAGAAATATGAAATGCGGGGAGCACAAACGGGTACAAGTAAAAATGGATCATGATGCATTGGGGGGACAAAATCTTTGACTGTAATTTAGCAGATCATGATGCATGCAGAGTAATTTATCTTTGTTGGTCTACAATAATAAAGATCATTCAATTGCATGCACCCAGGCACATAAATTTCGTCTCTCCTCTCTTCTCTGAAATTAATTATAAATGAACATTTTTCCCACAAAATCTTCCTCATAAACATTTTTCCTAAGCTCCTAGCAGTCCATACAGAATGATGTGGAGAAAGGCAATGAGGAAGAGAATGTGCATACTCATTTATTTCTCAATATCAGCTTTGGAAGCCACCAACCTGGTTGATGGCCAACACCGTCGATTTCTTGAAGTGATGCCCCAAAGGGAGATAATCATTTTCGCATATCTGATATACTCGAAAGGCTTGACATTATTATCTTTATAACTATCTCTGTTATCGTTTTGCCCATTGTTGCCTTCTTCTTATGTCGTTTCCTTCGTTTACGCTCCCAAGAGGACCTCCCTCCTGCCTCACCACCACAAGAGTGATGCACTGCATCCAAAATATAAGTGTATAGAATAGACCATATATATCATTCTATAACACTTATCAATGTAATAATACTTACACTTCCTTTTTATCCACCTTTTTTATATCACTTCAAACTCTTGCCACTATGATCTCTTTGTTTTCCTGTACACCGTTGCTCACAAAAAAATTCATCAACACATTTGTGCCTTTTTATTTTTATTTATTTTCTTTTATTATATGTCAAATATTCCTTAGAGGTTACGTTAAACTTCACGCATACATTATTTGTACATTGTGATTAGTAAAATAAGCCCATTTGTCTTTTTCTTTTCCAAGTGGTCAAATCTTTTATGAGTTAGTGTTCTATTAATAAAAGTTGGACATGAGTTGGAATTGATGCTAATTGAGCTTACGGAACATTCGCAAGTATGATCACAAAAAGTCGCACAAAGACAAGATAAAGAGAGCAGATAGAGAAAGAGAAGAAATAAATCAGATACTAATTTAATTTTTAAATAATTTTACCATAATAATAATAATTAAAATTAACATAATATTTTAATCAATTATCTTTAAGTTATAACTAATTAAACCACCGGCATTATTCCCTTCCTTTCCATTTTCAGTAAAGATAAAGAGCATAAAATTACCAACATCCATAAAAAAATTTTCCTTGCCGGCACTTTCATCAAACATGTTATTTTTAGCCGTAGGATTAGCCTAACAATCAAGAAATAGGTGAGATTAAATAAAAAGAATAAAAAAAATTTATGGTTTAAATTAAATTATGTTATTTTTTTAAGCCAATTTAAGTCATCATCTTCTTTGCCTAATTCAGGTTAGTTCGTAGATTTATAATCAATCTAATTTATAAAATAATAATTAATTTTTAAATAAAAATAAAAATTTATTTTATTAATATATATATATATATATATATATATAAATTAATTTGATAAAAAATTTACTTGTTTTTAAAATAAATATTATATTATTTATTTCAAAATTTAATAATTAAGATTAATTGTTATTTTAGATTAATAAATTAAAAAATAATAAAAATAAAAACTAAATTTTTAATTCTTATTTTTAGATTTTATATATTCTCTTATAATTTATATATTAAATTATTAATATTTTAAATAAATATTAATTTTATTAATATAATAAGAATTTTAAAAATATATTTATTTTTTATTTTTTTAAAATATATTTTAATTAATTAATTTAATATAAATATGCTAAAATTAATGAAAATAAAATTGGTTTGTTAACTTATTAATTTAAAATAAGGTTAGATTAAACTAAAAAGTTTGTCAATTTAAAATACCATGAAGAATTTTTACTTAATAAACCAAACTAGATTAATAAACCAAACTAGATTGAACTAAATTTAACCGTGCATTTTTATAACTTTACATTTTCAACAACAAATGAATTCAACCAAGATATGTTACTGTTAATAAACATTGAACACATTACAAAGCAAAAATCATATTCATTTTAAAAATATTTTTATTCTATTCAATATGTATTATAATTTAAATATCAATTCATTATATATAAAAATTGAAATTAATATAGTCATATAACTTGAATTTTAGAAATACATTTTTTTGTTCAAATTAATTATTTAATATTATTATTTTTTAAAACAAATAAAAGATATCACATTAAAAATATTGGTCTATTTTTTAATAGAGGACTAATTGACCTGATAATATATTTTAAGTAATTCGTTCGGTTAGACTACCCATAACCAAATTTATGACTTTTTGTTTTATATATGTATAAATAATCGTTCTATGGTAACAATTCCATTCGTTAGACTATATGATAATCAATTATAATTTACATGTAAAATAATTCATTAAATTAAAAAAAAAAATCTTTTGAATCCTTCATTCTATATATTAAAAAAAAGAGTTTAACTAAATCCTAAAAACTTGATTTATAAAATTAGATCAGTATTTCATTTATATATTATATAATTTGAAGTTGATGTGATACCTTTAATATACCTTTACATGTAGATGAATAATTTCCAATAGACATCTTTACATTTAAGATTGCGGGGTGCAATACCGATTGGTACAGTTATGATAACATTAAAAAGTAAATATAAATTTAATTTAATCTTATAAATGTAATTAATAAATGAAATTATATATTATAATTTAATTATTTCTAACATGCTCTCTCGCGTAAAAAAATCAATCATTATGAGTGGATTAAATATCTGTGAGATTTTAAAATAAAATCATTCACAACCTAGTTCTTAACAATGATTTCCAAAAATCAAATATATAAAAGATATCGAGTAAAACATTTTAACTATTATACGTGTCATCAATTATGAATAGCTAATATCAAAATCAAATATTAATAACGACTTTATATCGAGATATGGTTACTGAATGATCACCATGCCCAAATCTTTCCTACTGTAATTTACCGTATCATGCAAGCATGCAATGGTACTTATCTTTTCTCGTGTACAATCGTAATGGTCATTCAATTATACATGCATGCACAAACATAAATTCCCTCCTCTCCTCTCTTATCTGAAATTAATATATAAATAAACTGAACATGCACTCTCTTCCATCACAGTTTCTAACAAAATCATCTCCATAAACATTTTTTCTACTACGCTCTTAACTCTTAACGGTTAACTCTTCAATCAAAATCTTCTCCATACACAATGATGGCAGCGAGGAAGAGCATGTGCATTCTCATTTTGTTGACAATATCAGCTTTGGCAGTCACCGACCTGGTTGAAGGCCAACACCGTCGACTTCTTCAGGTCGGTGATGCCCCAGAGGAAGATCATCATCATTTTCAGATATCTGATATATTCAAAAGGCTTGACATCATGATCGGTGTAGCTGTCTCTGTTTTCGTTTTCGGCATCGCCTCCTTCTTCTTATATGGCTTCATTCGCTCCAAAAAGACCCCCCCTGCCTCATCATCACCACAGGAAGAAGAGTGATGCACTGCATCAAAATATAAGTACATCCTTCAATAAAACTTAGGACCACTATGTTATTGTTTTCATATGACTTTTCTTACTATACTGTACGTAGTTTTTTCATTATTTGATCACCATTGTGTAACTCTTCTCATTATTAATGAAATAATATCATGTTATAAATATAAAGTGTCATTAATTTTATCTATACTAATTTCTCCCAAAAACTTAATGAAGCTTCATGCATATAATATAGTAAAACGAATTTAATCCACTAAATTACTATATTTGATATATTTCATTATTTTTTAAAAGTAGACAAATGAGATAGTTATTTTCTATTAATAATAAACATGTTATTCAAAAATATTATTTATATTAAAATATAAACATGTAAAAAAAAATCATTGTTAATCAATTTTAATATTTAAATCATATATATTAAATTATATGATAATATTGATCATTGATGTGTCAATGCCCAGTCACCCATCTACTGTTTATGCAAATTATTATTTGATTGGGTTTTGTGTGGGTGAATATCGCTGACTAGTATGACCAGTGTGCCCAGGTTTAAGACCTGATTAATTACTATGTGTCTGTCTGTACATGGTTTTTGGCGAACACCTCTTGCTTTTTTACTGACACAATTCATAATGCACCACGCTAGCTTCAGGCATTGTTTTGTTTCAAACATTGTATAGTGAGAAATGATGGTATATTTTTATTACTGTGGTCGGAATCTAGTCAATGCCAACGGTGTCACCAATGCCTGTACTGTATATTGAGCTCTAATTTAGAGTAGTTGCAGAGTGCTGAATGTGACTCAGAGTGAGTGGTTTGGTGAGACAGCAACCACTACGTTTGCAGGGTATCTACCACCCTTATAAAGCTGATTGATATACAGAATATGCCATGTTACACTATTTTTCATTTGTAACCTAATTAACATTTTGGATTTATGTGAAATCATTACTACCTTCGTTAATTCTGATTAGACATTATTTAAAAAAAAATTCTACATATAAAACTATCTTTAAATTATATTTGTATAATTATTTTTTACTAAAAAACCTTTTATCTTTATTTTTTTATAATCTATAAATAATAAATATTATAAATCATCGTGATAAATCCATTATGAAAATGCTTGTTTTGGTGAAAAGTAATTAAGAATGTGTTGGAGAGTGTTTTTCTCTGAGTTGTTTTAATGTAAAATAAGTTGTTTATAAAATTAATCTATAATTAGTTTTTTCAGTTCCGTACACCGCTCAATAGAAAAGAAATGAGGTTATCTATATATATTTTTTTAAATGTAATATAAATTAGTAATAATTTAGTAGTACTTACTATTTTCCTATAAATTAGTTAAAGATGTCTTTATATATAAATAAAAGAATGATGGTAAGATTTTTCTAAGAAAATAAATTTTTAAAATTGGTAATTTTTTAATTTTTATGTGAAGTATTTATTAACTAATATTTATCGGAAAAAAAATTAGCCGATCATCTTTCATTGAGACACTTTTTCTCATTGCATTTATTTTCATTATATTAATTTTTTAAAACAGCAAGTCTAAATTCATTTAGACCATTTACATATTGATTTCTATAAAATTTATATTAATTAGCCAATAAAATTCATGAAATATATTTTTTAAAATTATAAACTAGACCAAATACTTCCTACTTTTTACTATCTTATTGTGAATGATAAAATAACTAGAGAAAAAAAAGAAACTAATTATTTTTTATGTTGGTAATGAAAAAAATGTTCTTAACTTGTTTAATTAAATTTATAAAAACTATATGTAAATAATTATTATAAAAAATATATATAAACCATTCAGTATTATAATCGAATAATTTTAGGAATGAATTTTGAATTAACTATTATAAAAAACAAGTCATATTATCACATTTGGCAATCTTTAATTGTATTACAGTGTAAAAAACTTTCATACTATTAATATATTTTATTTAATTTTACAAATATTCCATCTCTATCTTTTTTTGGTATGTCGATGTAAAATGCTTCAATGGACGAGTTTAAAAAATTTGAATAGAACGTGGACTGTGACAGTAGATTTCCATTAGTGGTTAATTTTGTTGTCTTGTGCAGCCTTAATTTCTTTAATATGGCATATTAATGCTTGGTGCTCCCCATCATGTTAATTTATTAATCTGATTAACCATTTCATGAACAAAAATAAAAGTCAAGTTTAAGAAAACCTTTCTGTATCCCAAAAATACCAAATTGACGTTTAACCTTTTTACAATCAACCTCCATTTTGTTCGAGATGTCCCTGAACAGAAATAAAATATTTTTATTTAGTTGAGTATTTAAAAGTTCAAAATTGATTACTAATGTTCCACTTACATCTTTATGTCTCCTAGTGAGTCCTAAATAATTATAAATTACTATTCCACTATTGAAACCACAGCAAAATAAACGAAAGAAGTATTTGAAAATGGTTTTAAATAAATAAATAAATAATATAGAATACATTCTTAATTTCTCTTTCCCTTAAAACAATCATAAGTCTGTACTCCATAATCAAAACTACATTTGTTTGTATGCAAACGTGGAAGATTGCATGCACATAGCTAAGTGGCGAAGGCACTAATAATGTGTAGCTCTATAAACAACTCAAAGCAGTGGGTGCAGTCATGGATGTGTGATGGTGGAGAGCCCAATCCCACTGCTAATTAACACAAATAAGTGTCATTGGTGATAAGTGACAACAAATACCTAAATTTCCTTTTTAAAAAAATACTATAACTTTTGATTATTTTGTTTCTTGTGTTGGGGACTTTCTGGTTGTAATTAAACTCTCCAAAGCTATATATATTTTTTTGTAAATTATATACTCCTTATTAGAGAAGATTCTATTTAAATTTGTTCAAATTATTATGGATGATAAATTTTTTTTCCTGAATATGTAATACAATTTTCTACTAAAAATTCAACTTTAATTGCTAAACCGATAATGAAGTAAAAATTAATAATTAACAGAAAAATAACAAAAATTTAAATAATGAAATTGATTTTTATTCCATTTTATTAATCGATCACTTATAATATTATTATATACTTTTCTTAATTGTATTCAAGGTAAAACGAAGTCATTTTTTTTAGTTATCAGAAGACTCATCATAATCAATATTGTCGTTACCTACTACTGTTAAGGATGTTTAACAAAGTGGCATAACTAGACATTAAATTAGCTACACCTTGAATATAAAACCTAATTTTATAAAAAAATCATAAATATAATCGTTAATTATTAGAAATTTATTGAGATATATTAATGTAAAAAACAGAAATAAATAAATAAGTAACCTCCAAGTTGAACTGTTTTAAGATATATTTGGCATGAATATGTGGCTGAATGTGGTGTTCTTAGTTTAGCAAGTTCAAAATTTTGAGATGATCCGTTCTCAACTCCGATGCTCAAGTTAACCTTTGTGTTTGAACATGAATGTATATATAATCTAAACTTTAACCTAGTTTATTAGTATGTGTATAAGGGCATGTGAATTGGGTGTTGATAGATAAATGGATAATGAATTAATGATGGTGAGTGTTGGTGCAATCATAGTCCATAATTTCATGATCATGGCGCCAGGGATTCCGTCGTGGGAACGTGATCTTAAAAATGGATTGGATTATTATCATCATTTTCAACGTTAATCCAGGTTTGGAATATGCTCTAATTCAATCACAATTTATGATTTTAAATATTTGAATAGGAATCTATTCGACATGAACCAAAAGCATTTGGTTATTTTATTGCTGTTATACTTTAGAGTAATGTTTTGAGACAGTGATTGTGTCCACCACAAAATGAGATGGTTTGATAAAAATAAGAGATATAGAAGAAGAAAAAGGTCAAAAGAGAAAGTAAAACATGTAAAAAAATTATGTAATGAAAAAGGAAAGAAAGTTAAATGAACGTAGAAGATGTGAATGGTCATAGATAATTATTTTTCTTCTGTAAACACACAATGCTAGTTTATTCTTTAATATATAGTGGGTTTGGAACAACTTTGAAGTGAGAAATAATCAACTAATTTTAAGATTAAAAAAATAACAAATTGATTTTGTGGGGTATATAGAATTGATTCTTATATGTTATCCAAGCAATAAGAAAAAAAAACAAAAAACTTGCAGATAATATGATATATAACAAGAGAATGTGTAGAGAGAAATGAAAAAGTGTCAAATGAGTGTTTATATTGTTAATATTTTCATTTCCTATTGTTGTATAGTGTAAACCATGATATTTACTTTGAAGATTGATGTAGAATTGTAGTATACTGTTATGCGTGTGATAACGTTGCAATGAAAGTGAGTGCATGCCAGTAGATGTCTCCTATAGCCTCTAGATGTTTAAAGTATGAATTCATGCATAAATTTGTTTTCGTACGGCAAAGGCACTTCACACTTTTGTTTAATGTAACCATTCATGCATAAATGTTGTTCTTACCCTAGAGAGTTCAATAAAAAGAAAGTAGGTTATTATTGTTGGCCAAAGTCTAGCTTTTCTAAACTTTTGTGCCCACGAACAATCCAACCCATTTTTTTCCTATTAGGCTGAAATTTGATTGTGTTATACAACGTCTAATAGCCTCAACGAGTATGATTAGTTGTCCCGAACAAGAAGAAGAAACAGAATAACAAGTCAACAATGATTTGCAGCACACTATTTGCAAGACGAGACACTTGTTGGGTTTATTAATAAACAAAAACAGTGACATGATTTTGGTTGAAAATATCAAAAGTCTAAAACCATGGAGATTAATCAATGACAAGTTCATTTAATTGTGAAATATTTTATATATGAAGAACCCCAAGGGGAGGCGTGGACAACCGTCTATGCAGCCGTTATCTTCAATTACTCGTCACCACACATTACAACCCAAGTCCAACTCGACTATACCAAGCAAAAATTCTTAAAATAATCCCACAAAGTAACATGAAGAAGTGACGCATTTTTTGTCCGAATCATCATCTACGTTCAATTTAAGATTACTTTTTTACAACCGGAAACATGGTATTGGGGCCATGTGTTGATATATAAAAGGAAAATTATTTTTAAATATAAATTTTATTTATGTGTTGAAAATATAATTTCAGTTAGTAAAATAGTGATGATGCAATTATAAAGAATATGTAAGGGGAGAAAAATAAAGTGTGAATGCTATAGATTTTTTATTCTCCAAAAGGCAAAAGAGGAAGTTTGAGGAGAGAGAAATTATATTGGAAATTATATGTAAGAAGTTAAAAGGATTAAACTCAACTATGAAACGAATATACCTAATTAACAATCTTTTATATATTGTACACACGAGACTAAATTGATAAGTTAGTGAGACTAAATTTTTAAAAACTCAAAAAATAAAATTAACACAACGTATTTGTATTGTTATTAATAATAAATAATTTTATCCATTTTAATTGATGAGATTAAATTTTATTAATTATTTATATTGTTCTTTCAAATTATTCTTAATATTTTTAAAGTTAATCACCCATCTCAATGTTTGAAAGATAACAATGGTGGAGGGATTTGTAAGTATCCATTTCTTCAATCCTAGTAAAAAATAGAAAGAGTTGATCTCATATTAGTTTTTTATATTGGTCATTTGAAACTAGTTAAAATGTCATTTAACACACCCTTTTAAGATTTAATTAGGTTTTTCTAGTTTAATAAAAGAGAGTTGTATAAAAGATATATTATTAGTATTTTTTTTAATTTAATTTCCATATGAGGGAGCTGTGGTATAAAATGGAGCAAGTCCACCGTCTGCGGGATTATAGAGACCTGACAGCAAACGATATTGAGGAACCTTGCCTCTCCCTCTTAATTTCGACCCTTATGTCTTTTTCATATCTGTCATTTCTCTTATTTGCACACAATAGCCATAACATAAATCCTTGCTTTCTCCCCGTGATGAATCTCAATCCATCTTTATTATCTCCCGTGACCTATTAACTTCCATTTCCAACATTTGTGGCCCTCATCAATCGCGACGCCATCATCGCACGCATATATAAACACAGCACGACGTCCTCGATCCATTCGGAAAGGGAAACCGTTCGTCCAAAGGCAAATTGACATTTCTTATAATAATAATAATACAAAATAATAGTAATTTATTTTGCGAGGGTGTGGGAGTTTCTTTTTTTCTTTCTATTTTTGAAAATGACGGAGAAGAAGAATGTGAAGGCGGCGACCAAGGAAGAGGGAGAGGAAGGGAAGCAAACGACGTCGTCTTCGACTCCGTTTTCTCCTTCGCTGTCATCGTCTTCGCCTTCGTCCTCGTCTTCGGATGAGAGAGAGTACGAGGTGCAGGACCTGCGGGACCGGTTGAAATCTTCGAGAGGAAGTCGGTTCGATCTGATACAGAATGAGTTCGGACTTAACTCAAGTTGGAGCAAGTTCAGTCGTCAAGCTCTTCTCCATGGACTCCGAGGCTTCTCCAAGGACTTCGTCATCCATCCTGATAACAGGTTTCTTTTGCTTCAACTTCCTCTCTCTTTTATTTTTTATTTTTTTTTAAGCATGATCAGGTTAATTTATTAATAATTTAATGGTCAAGTAATTTATGGTTTTCATAATGAGAATAAGTGTATCTATTTTTTTTTTTTTGGTTAGACATACAACTTTCAAAATAAAGACAGTTTTAGATTTAAGTTTAATCGAACTTTTAATATATTTTTATCATTTTGTGATATTATTTACTTTTTGAGAATTATATTTGTACTATTTGAAGAGTTGAATGGATGTGTAATGGCCACATCTTAATAAACCTTTAGTATAGCTGTAAAAGTTGATAATAACTTTTAACATATATGATAGTTTGTAATTAGATGATAATATAAAATGTACAATATATTTTTTCTTATTTTAATATAAGTCATTTATAACTTAATATATAAGAAAAAGTTAACTGTAATAGTATTACTACATTGATATTAATATTACGGTATGTTTGAATGAACATTTTTATAAGTAATAAATGTTTTTAGAAAGATAATTTTTTTCTTTTATAAATTAATTAAAATTAGTATGTGTGCATAAGATAAAATATTTTAGACAAAACATTTTTTTAAATATTTAAAGGGGATTTAATGTAAACATGCTCATTATATTGTAAATATTTTTGTTAAATGTTGGATCTTAAGTTAAGAGATGCAAAATAAAAATAAAGAACAAACTTGACCTAGTAATGAAATATGAAGTGCAATACATTAATAAGAAGTGTAGTTAAGTACTGAATTGAAGACAGTGGTCCATAAAAGGTTAAGAAATAGATACGGTATGGTCTTGAACAGATGGGTGTAGGATTCAATGTTGTTGCCACATGATTGAATCAATTTGATCGGAAAGCAGTGATATATGTTGATGCTGAAATCTTTGACAAGTATCAGAGTGTAGGGTATGGTTGGTGTGTTGAAAGAGAACATGTGAGATGTATTTGAGTTGGATTAGATGGAGGTAAGTTTGAAATGATGGCTTATTTCCCTCCCCGTTACACGCGGCATGTGCTGGCTGGGTCCGTAATTCATGTGGTTTTGCTTTGTTGTCCAACTTATCATAATCATCTATGTGATTAGTCATAGTTTACATTTATTTTTTTTAAAATATATTTTAAAATAGTTAATAATTTTATTAATTTATCATGTGACTCGTACATTTTACACTTGGACGACGACTACATTAAAAGAAAATAGTTTTCAGACTATTTTCTTTTATATATATATATATATATATATATAATTTATTAAAATAAATTGACTGTGAAATTGTGGATTTTCAAAAAAAAATTCAACTCTAAATTTAGAAGACGACAATCATCTGTCATTTTGACATTCATACACTTCATCTTAACACTGACTTGACACTCATGCTATTTATTCATTTATGCCATATTTTGATATCTCAGTTTTGTCTCCACCACATGTAGTTTAAATATTTGGAAAAAGAAATTAAAAACTTTCGTATTCAGTCAGCAAAGTTGATAAGGATATATATCTGCGAAAGTTTCCACGTTTTCATTTTCATAAATTTCGGTAGTGGTTTAGTTTGCGGGCGGGGACCCCGAGAGAAGAGCTAAAGAAGGCCCAAGTTTCAGCCAGAGTGTAACCAAGGCCCAAACGTTTGTCCTGAATTTTTTGAAGCTTTATAGCACAAACTCAAACGTCAAGCTGCAAATATTTTTGTATGTTCGTCATTTGTGAGAAAGTTAGCTCATTCTTTAACATCATGAATCGAGTTTGACAATTACTTAGATACATCGATGAGATGAGATTTGATTTACATTCTGAGTCAATTCTATTTAAGTTATTAATAAGGAAAAAAAAAAGATTTTGAAGTTAGAAGAATCAGATACTAAAGTTTCACATACATCATTAATGAGCAAGGTAGCTCTCTCTACCGCGAATGAATTAAAGTTGATGGTAGCATGAACTAGTTATGGCTTTGCTTCATGGTTTCAAAACATTATTGTTTTATGTTTCATCATATTCCGTGTTTGCTCTCTCACTCTCACTTAAGACAAGTAGCAGTAGTGTAATAGTAAATTTTTTGTTTGATGCTTATGTTGATGTTGATGGGTATTGCAGGTGGTACCGGGCATGGACAAAATTCATTTTGATATGGGCAGTGTATTCATCCTTCTTCACTCCAATGGAGTTTGGATTTTTCCGTGGCCTACCTGAGAATCTCTTCATTCTGGATATCATTGGACAAATAGCTTTTCTCGTGGATATTTTCTTGCAATTCTTTGTTGCTTATAGAGACATTCAGACTTATCGTATGGTCTACAAGCGAACAGCTATAGCTCTGCGGTAATATTTTATTTTTTTAGTGATGTGCTTCTCTTTTGGCATGATTACTAATATTTATTATTATTATTATTATGATTATTATCTAACATCAGTTTTTACTAATATTTACTGTGGTTTTGCTATTTGAGAAAATCTGCAATTGCTTACAAATATTTTATATGTATAGATATTTTGTGGGTAGAGTTTTATTATTGATTTATGGTGTGCATGTTTCATTTCATTTAATGTAGGTATGTAAAATCTAACTTCGTGTTGGATATTCTTGCGTGTATGCCCTGGGACGTCATCTTCAAGGTTATACTTCTTCCACATAAACCCAAATTTGTTGAGTACGTGTATTACTTATCTTGAATTGTTTTTGAGTATCTCTGACGCGTGATTCTAAAAATTGTCGAAAAACCTGTTACATGCCTATTTGATCCACCAACAAAGTCTGTAATCACATTGTTTATGTTATTGTGTTATGATGGATGTATACATTCCGTGATAGTTATTCTGTTTGCAATAAAATGACGAGTTTTAAAAGAAAATTTTACCTTCATATTGCTTTTTGCCTGACGACATGTAGCTTCTATTTCACACTGTAAGTTATCTGTTCTTAGGATTTTCCAGCTCTTGATTAAACCATGAAAAGACACAAGTTGCCATCTGTTAAGACATAAGAGAAAAATTCCATACTGTTCTGACATTATGTCTCAGTATTGGGAATGGAAAAGATAAATAGCCTTTTCTCTTTTAGCTAACATCTTTCATTTGTCCTTTGGAATGTAATATAGGCAGTTTGTATGACTCATGAACAACTCAGGGCAGACACGAGAGTAATATTGACTAGTTGTAGTGACAAATGTTATGGTATAGCTTTTTTGTCAATTTCTGGTTTGTACGATAACTTTTTATATTGACAGGTTTGTGGACGAAAAGAGGCGGTGAGGTACCTTTTATGGATCAGATTATACCGGGTGCGGAAAGTCACAGATTTTTTTCATAGATTGGAGAAGGACATACGTATCAATTACATCACTACCCGGATTGTGAAATTGATAGTAGTTGAGCTCTACTGCACCCATACAGCAGCCTGCATTTTCTACTATTTGGCTACTACATTACCGGAATCCCAAGAAGGGTACACATGGATTGGAAGTTTAAAAATGGGTGACTATAGTTATTCACATTTCAGAGAAATTGATATTTGGAAGCGCTACACAACATCTCTCTATTTCGCCATTGTTACTATGGCTACAGTTGGTACGTTTTTTCCTTTGTTTTATTCATTAAGCATAATCGATTTTCAGTTTATTAGTCTTTAGTTATTGTACAAAAATAGATGGAACACTCACCAGATAAACAATTAGAAGGGATCCTATCCAATTAAATAGACTCAGTGGTAATTTTGTATATTTGGGAGTTGTAGGATAAGGCTTAGGTCAGTGTTGTTGTTCTTGGTCTTCTTGTATGTGATAATAACTAGTTTACTATTACACTTGGTAGTTTACATTGTTTCAGCATAACTACATAAACTGTTTGTGATACTTCAAAATATTGGAGAGTGATTCTTTACCCAATAAAACTTGACTCTAAAACAAATAAAGCAGAAAAATTATTTATATTTTATTTAATACTAAATAATTCGATTTGAAGTGTTTCTCTCAATTTGTAAGAAATTGATAAATTTCAAAATATTACCAAATCAAATATGAGATTCAATGAAAAATCATTTAATAAATTTGGTTGCAACGTTAACAAGGATTTCAAATAAATCAATCACAATAGGCTCATTTAAATAAATCAAATTAAACCAATATTAAGAAATTTCAGCAAATCAATTACAATTAATTAGTGCCGTGCCCACCTCATGACTCCATTGCAAACAATTACAAGTAAGAGGTGCTTAATAAAGTCGATATCCACAATCTCATGGTGACTTAATCAATTACAATTAAGAAGGTAATTTAAATACATGCAATCTATTCAAACTAAAACACATTACAATAATCGTCCCAAAACATTACAATAATCATCACCAAAACTAAAACTACCATTATAAATTCTAGATCTCACGTATTTTTTGTGCATAGGTATGTGTATATTTAGATTGTTTTTCAAGATGTATATTATCTTGTCTCTCTTGCAAATTTCTCTAAATGAATGAAGATTTTTACCATTTCTTTCACAGGCTATGGAGATATACATGCAGTAAATATGAGGGAGATGATATTCATAATGATATACGTTTCATTTGACATGATTCTTGGTGCCTATTTGATTGGTAACATGACAGCTTTAATAGTCAAGGGATCAAAAACTGAAAGGTTCAGAGACAAGATGACAGATCTTATGAAATATATGAACAGAAATAGGCTTGGAAGGGATATTCGTGAACAAATTAAAGGACATGTGCGCTTACAGTACGAGAGTAGCTACACTGAGGCTGCTGTTATTCAGGATATCCCTATCTCTATTCGAGCTAAGGTAATAAAGGAAGAAATGAGTTTTAACCTCATGTATGGTCAGTTATGAATGTCACTATAGTAATTATTGCCATTTGTTTTAATATCCTATAATTTTATAGTTTTCCCAACTGCAGATTCTACGTTTTTTGACATTTCTTCACATTTTGTTTAGTTGGTATTTGTAAACTGAAACCAACTTCGTTGATTTTATTCTTCAATTCCTTATATTTTTGTCTGTTTAGATTACTTTTGTCAAAGTTGTGATAAATGCACTGGCATAAAGTATGGTAACGAGTAAGGGAAGTATACAATAAACATGTAAAGATAGTATTTCAAATATCAGTTTAGTTTTGAAAGTAACAGGAACATCTGTGCACAACTTTTTCTCAACATAGATAGTATACGATTTTAGGCTACAAATTATTGACAAGTTAGCCTGCTATTCAGTAATGAATATGATAGATTAAAGTGTGAGCATTCTATGTTCCATTTTCAGTTGACGTAAATTCAGAAAATTAATAAAGATCACAATATAGTGTTGGACAGATTCACTCTTCTGATGGTTCTACATTTTAACCTATTCATTTTTTTTTGCAACATATTTTCTGTTTATTTCCTCTGACTCTACTCTGTCTCGGCAAATTTTCTGTTGGAGTTGGAGGCCACATTTTTTTGTCAATGTGTTGTTTAGAAATTTTATACATGTGTAGGTATTTTTGCTGAGTAATTTGAAGAATATGAATTTGAAATTTACACTTTTACATATGTTCTGTTCATCTTTTGGGATTATACGTGCTTATACTTAAAATAAGGAGATTTCTCCCAAGTCTCAGTATCATAAATCAATTAGTATAAACCTCAGAATTATGCCTTTAGAGAAAGACATATCTTAATTTTTCCACGATTTTGATATCGAATGGTGTAATGATCTAATTACTTGTTGCAGATATCTCAAACATTATACCTGCCATACATTGAGAAGGTTTCTTTATTTAAAGGATGTTCTGCAGAATTCATTAATCAGATTGTAAGTAACCTTTTCTCCATTGCCTAACATGTCAATATATGAAATGAAATTAATATTATTTATATTTTTTTGTACACAAAACTCTCTTTTCCGTTTTGTACCTTTATCTATGATCTACAAATTAGAACGAAAACCGACATTAACCGCACTCTTTTTTATTTCACAAGTCATTTTTTCTATAGACTTTTGATACTGTTCATTTTCACGCCATTAGTGCTGGTAAGCTGGATTTTTTATCAGCGTTTTAATAGTTTTTTAGAAAATTTCAGTTACTTTTTTTTTCTCTGCAATTAATGTAATCAACAACAATTTCATCCTTGAAATACTGGGTGGAATGAAGAATACTAGGTTCATAAAATATATGTAATTGGCTGTAATAATCATATTTACTAGCATTTTTGTTATCCGCTGAATGAATATGACTAGATGTATCTATAATGAGAGTGTTTTTATCGTCCAACATCTTCTTCTCAGCTGATCTTGTGGAAGTGATTACAGTTTACGTTCTTTTAATCTTTCAGGTTATTAGGATCCATGAGGAGTTCTTTCTTCCAGGGGAAGTTATAATGGAACAAGGAAATGTTGTAGATCAACTATATTTTGTCTGTCATGGAGTGTTGGTATGATTTAATATTTTCACAATCACCTCTTACAATTGTTGAGGTTTCCGATGCTTTTAGAATATAGACATGCTATTGTGCATTTCGTTTTAGGCATGGGACATGCTGGGTGACGTCAATTTTCTTACTTCTTTTTATTGCATCACCTGGAGAAAGTATTCGCATCAACAAAACTTCTCAAAATCTTAAAATTTTTCACATGACGAAGTATTCATGTACGAAGTAGGTTATCATTTTTTGTTTGTTGAATGCCCAAAACTGTTTGTATGCAGGAGGAAGTAGGCATAGGTGAAGATGGATGTGAAGAAACTATTTCACTCCTGCAGCCTCACAGTTCATTTGGAGAAATATCTATTCTTTGTAACATTCCTCAGCCATATACTGTGCGCGTTTGTGAACTAAGTAGACTCCTGCGACTTGATAAACAATCATTTACCAATATCTTAGACATATACTTTTATGATGGAAGGAAAGTATTAAACAACCTTCTAGAGGTACTAATTTTATATATGTTGTTTCTCACCTTCTTCTCCCTTTAATAGAGTGTCTGATTCTGGCATGAGTTGAAATACTCTAGACTCTAGTTGAACAAGATATACAAAGTTACTCAATAAAGATTGTAATTTGTTAATTGCTGATCACGAGACACCTGATTGTTTTTATAGGGAAAAGAGTCCTTTCGAGGTAAACAGTTGGAGTCAGACATCACATTTCACATTGGAAAACAAGAAGCCGAACTTGCTTTGAAGGTCAACAGTGCAGCTTTTCATGGGGATTTGCATCAGCTCAAGGGTTTAATTCGAGCTGGAGCTGATCCCAACAAGACAGATTATGATGGAAGGTCACCTTTGGTAAGAGACTTGCAATTTCTTATGATATCTTGCAAATATTCTGTTGCTCTCTGATTTGTGATGTTGCTGGTAAATAATAACTAATTAGCAGCATAATAAGAAATACTTTCCTGATATGATTTTTTTTTGTTTTTCGATAGCATCTTGCAGCATCTAGAGGGCATGAAGATATCACACTTTTCCTTCTTAAAGAACGGGTAGACGTCAATATTAAAGGTAATTGTCTGACTTATAAATATTCATTGTTAAAAGACATATAAATTTTAACTGACAACCTAACACAACTATGATTATGTTGGGAATTTATAGATAACTTCGGGAGCACACCATTACTTGAAGCAGTTAAGAATGGAAATGATCGGATTGCTTCTTTACTCGTTAAAGAAGGGGCCTCTATGAAGATTGAAAATGCTGGTAGTTTTTTGTGTACAGCAGTTGCAAGGGGAGATTCAGATTATCTTAAAAGACTTTTATCCAATGGTATGGATCCTAATTTAAAAGATTATGATTACCGAAGCCCTCTTCACATAGCTGCAGCCGAAGGCTTATACTTCATGGCAAAGTTGCTATTGGAAGCGGGAGCTAGTGTTTTCACCAAAGACAGGTATCAGTTATTATTTTTTTTAGGTTCATGCTGACATAACTTGTGTTTGATATTAGGAACCTTCTCATTTATGTTTTCACTTGGAAAATAAAATGGACCGTGATTTTTCAAGGCTGGCATAATTCACTAGTGCACTGGGCTTTGTTTTTTACACAGGTGCATTGTACGTGCACCCAGTAGCGTGTCTAGTGAAAATAACTAGAAACTTGATGTCATGCATTTTTGTAACATAGTAGACATGTAATTCCACAACAAAATTTCAACTTGGTAGGAGTTAGTCTTTATTCACACCAGTAGCATAAATAAGATGGAACAAATTCAGCACACACCTCTATTAGCAGTAAATATGATGTTTCACTCTTTCTTTTTTTGTCATATTTTTCCTACTTTCACGTCTTACTGGACTCAAGAATTTGGCTTCGGTTTATTTCGTCTTTCCTTTTCACGATTTCTTCGAAATAGCATAACAAATTTTTCGTTCATTTTCATTTTATTACAAATAGATGGGGAAATACCCCGCTTGATGAAGCCCGGATATGTGGAAATAAGAATCTGATCAAGCTACTGGAAGATGCAAAATCTGCTCAACTGTTGGAATTCCCATATTCCTCCCAAGAATTCACAGGTACTGTCATATTTACTCCTCCATCCTAAAGTGATAATGATTAAGAATTTTACATGTACCAGAATGTATTATTACGTAGCCTTACGTCTTGGCAATGTTTTACACTGTTTTCTCGTAGTTCACTTTTGGGGTTAACTTTATTATAATTGTTTATGCAAAACAATTACATGCATAGTTTGCATCTAGTTCTACCTCTTCCTCGAAGAGCTAGGAGACTAATAAACATATTATTCCAATTTGATATGCATTCTTTTTGTTGTTATGTCTGTCCATCTCTATTTTATAAAGACTATAGCTCACCAATTGTTGTAAACCTTAATTTCATCCATCATTTTCAGATAAAATGCACCCAAAAAAGTGCACAGTGTTCCCTTTCCACCCGTGGGATCCGAAAGATAATAGAAGATATGGGATTGTATTATGGATTCCACACTCCATCGAAGAGCTAATCAAATCAGCGGCAGAACATCTAGAATTTTCTGGCGATTCTTATATTTTATCAGAAGATGGTGGTAAAATTACTGATGTGAACATGATTAAGGATGGTCAGAAACTGTATTTAGTCCAAGAAACACATTAATGCCTCTAAATAAATTGCTCTTTACAAGCGTATAATAAAGTGCCTTATAATGTGTTGTGCTTTCTAAAAATTAAAACATTATTTGATCTTATTAACCGCACAAAAAGTGTCGTATCCTGTCAAAATACAAACCAGTAATTTAGATCAAATAATGTGCATGTGCTTTAGTTGCATCATTCTAGGCAGCTCGTGCTGATGAAGTGCTCAATAGTTGTTCTTATTGGTGTAGCACACACATCAGAGTTCAGCTGGAGTTTATCAAAGATTATAGGGCATAGGGTTTAACTGGTCACTCATATATATATATATGTGTGTGTGTGTGTGTGTGTGTGTGTGTGTGTGAACTCAACAGTTGAATTTTAAAGTTTAGTATAGAGTTCTGGTAAAGTAGTTAAAAATGAAAACATTCAGTAATTTTCCTTTAAATAATTTATCACGCTCTACAAATTCACGCTTTGATAAAATTATGTTAGCAACTCCTCAATCATTACGTGTTTAGACCCAAAGCTTACAACGGAACAAGTTTCATAGTTATCATAAACTAAATCACTGTCTACATAGTTACACTTTTCTGGATTTCATTAATTGAAAAAAAAAACTTTATGCAGTGATTTCAATATTGCTTAGTGTTGATCATCCATTTTACTAGTATTGACTCGGAACGTTGCTTTGTTTTTCTTTGTGAGCATTAAGAGATAGTCAATTCAATTAAAAAGAAAAAACAATTTTGATTGTGAAAGATACATTCATATGACCTGTTACGATTTGGCCTGCCTGTTTTTAAGCTGATAAGAGTGGATGCAATTGAAATTCACTACCATAGGAATCCAATTGGATGCAAGTATGCATGCCTGCCACAAATGTTATACATATCCTGGATTTTGGAAGTTGTGGTGTTAATGAATAATCGGTTGATAAGTTAAGAGGAAAGTTAATGATAGACATACAACCCCCACCAAGTCACGTCTCACCTCAGAAAGACAGGAACAAACTAAGTTAAGGAAATCAAATCGGTGTCCCCAACCACACCATCCTCAATTTACGGGCCCACTATGTGATACTTATTATTGCATACCCAACTGAGCTAACATAAAAAGGTCGTCGTCTGAAGTTACCTATGGTGTTTAGATGCAGTTTTCAGTTTTCTCTTTATCATTACTATTATTAAGAATAAAATATTATGTATTCTACATTCATCATTCAGAATAACAACGTATGTGTCACAACTTCTGTTTTTTGGTTCTCTTCTCTCTGTGAGTGCAGCAGCCACGAACCAGTACTAAGTTTTCTTGTACATATGGTAGTGTCCAAACTCATGCATAAACACACTCCCCACAGTTTTTAAAAAGTCTAACAACATCAATTGAGAAAATTAAACGACTCCTAAATATTATCAAGCCATTATATTACTACCTCCAAAACTTTAATCTAAGATCACCTTAACATATGAGCTGAATTTGTCGAAAGTGCTTTTGGGCCGCCACATTAGCAGAGACTGATGCATCTTCTTTCTTACTTTCCTCGGACACTGTGTTGAAGTGTGGTTGAGAAGCAGTGGCAGCTACAAAAAGTTCCATGAAGCAGCTTAAAAGAGGCAAGGTTGAGCACACAAGTAGTCCCACTCTGATGATATTCATGGCTAATTACTCCACAATGTTTAGTTCAAGTTTTCAATTTTGTGGTTTAAGCATGGCAGAGGGGAAAATTTATAGTGAAGGGGAAGAGTCTTAATGAAAAGTCTCCAACGTGTTGAGCAAGGTAGAAGAAAGGAAGAATCGTCGTGCTTGCCTCTATTCACTGAATCCATTTGATCAAAGTCAACAAGACTTATAAGAGTAATGATTTTGATCTGAGCTAAAATTCCAAAGAAATTTCTTTCCTCGTGCCTTGGAAAGGGAGAAATTTGTTGCCAAAGTTGATTCAACACTGACACGCTCCCATGCACATATATTTTTTAAAGAGACGCTAAAAACAGTATGTGTTTGACAGAGTTACATTTATGTAATAAAATACATAATATGATAGGCCTATTAATAAATCTGATTCCTGTAAAACATTCATACAATCATAAAAATCAAAATATAAAGAAAAAATCTGAAACATCAAGTAATATATTTTAAAATATTATAAGACAATAATATCTTTAGATATTTTTATAATTTTAGCATTTTAATATGATTCTTTCCATGTTAAGAAGAAGAATCTCAAAATTTCCATAAAGATTAGGTGGGAAGTTTGAAATTTTCAGATGTTGATGTGATGAGAAAACATTTAATTAAGCTAATTATGTGCAGTGACGGATTGAAGAGAGGAAAGCAAATTGTGATGATGTTGACAGAAAACTTGATCGCTACCGTCTCTATCACCCCATCCTTGGACAATATAAATAATAAACAAGCTTGAATTATATAATAAAAAAAAGTAAAAAATAACATAATTTTATTTATTTTAAATAATTTTAATATTATTTTTTAAATTACTTATTATTATAATAAAATGACGTAAATAACATATGAATTCACTCTTTCATTTGAATTTGAATTTGATGCAAGTTATACTAATTAACTCAACCAAATGGTCTTTGGATTTCTATTGTCAAAGCTAAAAAAATGCAACGTTAACATTAACTTAAAACTCTTAATGGTTTCAAGAGTAAATTATTTTTATGAGTTTAATGAAATTAAACACATTTTTCCAGTTCTTTTATCTCTAAACCAAGTCTTTTAAGTAGTTCGAAAAAATTATACCAACATATTACATTTTTTTTAATAGTTATTTAAAAACCATGCCATACATTTTTTTGTTGTTAAAAGAAATTATTATAAATATTAATAAAAAAAAGGTAAGTAGTATTGACATAACTCCACCTACATTAAAGATAATTGAAGAAACATGTACTCTCTCTATTTGTAATGATAGTAACAGAGGGCATTTTTTAATTCTATTTGAAAGAGGAAAATTGTGACGGAAGCTCTTGTAGACTTTTTTTTACAAGTCTTGATCAATAATTTTTTCTTTATTCTTCTCTATCCTTCGTTCTTTTATTTATTTATTTATTTATTTATTTTTCACATTCCAACATTGACTTTGAATCTATTAATGGAATTGATTCAAATAGAAGGAGTTAGTTAGTCATCCAGAACTTGGTGAGCTAAGTTTCAAATATCTGATACAGGTGTTCAAATTTAATGTTTTATTGTTTCTTGAACAAAACTGCATCAAAGAAGACATGTGTTGAAAAGAAAAAAAAAAACTTATTTGTTTTACAAAACATATATTCCAAAGAGTATCTCCAAGGGAAAGAAATAGATAATTATTATTTGCACAATACTAAATGATTAGTATAATTTGTTTTCTTATTTATTCCATGTTTATCATGTTATAATGGAATAAAATGAGTAAAAAGAGAGGTGAAATTTTAAAATGCAAGTAGTTTAGTGTAGGGGGTTTTAGCAATTTAGTTTTATTCTCAAAATTAGTCTTAAGGTGTGGGAAGTTGCAACCATTGCATACTTGATTTTTCTATTGAAGCAGCTCTGAGTCATTCATGCAGAATTACGGGACGGAAAGAACAAGTTTTCTCAACAAACTTATTCACATATTATGTACTGAAAGAGACTTTCTCTGTTATTATTATTATTATTCATTAGTTTTACTCTATTTATTGTACAAATTGCAATTTATAATTTTTATTTTAATATAGTGATTTTAAATATTTTATTAATTTATTAAATAGTAATTCATTATTTTTTTATATTTTTAATTTTAAAAAATAAACAACCCATTGGCGTGTAGCGCGCCATGGATTGGGCCTGTGCAAATATTTCTGCACCTATGCTTTCAATCTCAATACCAAACAAGTCCCAATAATATTTGTATTACAAATTCCCTCAATTTATTTTTTATTCTAAGAAAGAAGAATATAATTAATAACTTGAAGACGTATATCTCTTTCATATAATATATATTGGGAAAAAAATATTAATTTGATCTTATTTACTATTTCATATAAAATTACTTGTCAAACCATTTTTTTTAAATTGTGATCCATTGGATATAGATCCAATTTTTTATTTTTAATAATCTTTTTTATTTTGTATTTATGATAAAAAATAATATTTTTTATTTTTTACAAAATTTGTAATAAAAAAATATTTTAGAATATTCCGTGTTAATGAATAGAAAAAAAGATTCATGGATCCAAATTATGTTTCAGATTAACTAATATAAAACGTTTAAAAATTATGTTTTTTCAAATTTTAGATTGGTCAATCCGAAACCCTCCAAATTAACGAATGATAAAAATTCACTTAATTGACGGATTGAATTGACGGATTGAATGATCTACGTAGAAAATAATAATAATAATAATAATAATAATAATAATAATAATAATAATAAATACTAAATTATAATATGTTTATTCCTTGGATTACACAATAAATGTTGTATTTTATCAATAAAAGGTTCTTCATTATATTATATACACTTTATTGTTTTGTGAGATTAAGTGACTTAAAATTTTAATATTCTTATCGTAGGTTTTTTTATCAATATGATGGTAGTCGAATATAGATTTTCAACTACGTGCACGCGCATGTTATAGGTGTAGTATAAACAAAATAAAATAAGTATGTAAAAGATAAGAGACTAAATTTGTGTTTTTTATATTATTTACGTATATAGAATTTTTGATATGAGAAGAAATAACAAACAACAAAATCCCGCAAATATTAATTCGTTATTCTCTCTTACTAGTCTTATGTTCCCTCTTAGGTTTGTTAGTTGTCAACTGTTCCGCGTTCCTAATAGAATTCTTCATCATGGTTATCTTTTCCAATTTTGTCCTCACCTCACTTTCTGATATAACATTGTTGCCCCCATTAAAAATGACCTTGTACTCAAGGTTAACATTTGGATATGTTTCTTTGACTGATAACAAATCCTTTCGCGTAATATGCATCTCTTCCAAACCTTCCCATTTAATTAACACTTGTCAC